TAGTCTTGAACTCCTCCTGACCTCAGGTGATAAGGCTGTCTTGGCCTCCCGAAGTGCTGGGATTACAGGCATGAGCCACCACGCCTGGTCCTGTCCATTATTGTAAAGTGATGACAACACTGATTATATAAACAAGCAATAAGAAGACTAAAACTACTCTAACTTTATCTCCTTGCTTCTTAACTTGCTGTTGTTTCCTTTGTGTGTTTTTGTACTGTCTATGTCTTGAAAAGTTGGTGTAGTTATTATTTTTGATTGGGTTATTAATCTTTCTGCTAAAGGCCAATAACCCTTCGATTTGCCATTTTGTGGCTATTTTTTAGATGTTGTTGGCTTGCTTCATTTTTTTTATTTTTTTCTTTTGTTTCCTCTGCATTTTCAAATAGCCTGTTTTCAAAGCTCACTAATTCTGCTTGATCCATTCTGCTATTAATAGACTCCAATGCATTCTTCATATGTCAATTGCAATTTTCACCCTAGAATTTAATTCTTGTTAAATTTATCTGATAGAATTCTGAATTTCTTCTGTATGTTATCTTGAATTTCCTTGAGTTTCCTCAAAACAGCTATTTTGAATTCTCTGTCTGAAAGGTTATATATATCTCTGTTTCTCCATGATTGGTCCTTTGTGCCTTATTTAGTCCACTTGGTAAGCTCATGTTTTTCTGGCTGGTCTTGATGTAGATTTTTGTCAGTGTCTGGGCATTGTCATGTTAGATATTTATTGTTGTTTTCACAATCTGGGCTTTGCAATCTGTACCAGTCCTTCTTGGGAAGACTTCAGGTATTTGACAGGACTTGGGCTCCAAGCCCAATAATGCTGTAGTTCTTGCTGACTTGTAGACTTGGATAAGATCCAGAAGAATTCTGTGGATTACCAGGTAGAGATTCTTGTTCTCTTCCCTTTTTATTTAAAAAAAAAAAAAAAAAAAAAAAAGTGAACTACTAACGGCAAATCTCTCTATGCTGAGCTGCTTGGAGGTGGGGATGAGGTGATGCAAAGACCCCTGTGGCCACCACCACTGGAACCACCTGGATCAGAGGAATCCAGCACTGCCCTGGGTCTTGCCTAAGGCCCTCTTTATCCACTGCCTGGCTACAGCTTATGTTCGCTCAAGGCCCGAGGGCTTACAATCAGTAAGAGGTGAAACTAACTTTGTGTCCTTCCCTTCAGGGCAACAAGTTCTCCAGTCTCCAGGCATGTCCACAGATGCTATCTGGGAGTCAGGGCTTGGAATCAAAAACCTTAGAAATCTACATGACACTCAAACTACAAGGCAAAGTTCTTCCCCCTCTTCCCCGCCCTTTCCACAGGCAGAGGAACCTGTTTCTGTGGCTATAACCAGCACTGGCCCACAAGGAGTTCTGCCAGGCCACCACTGATGTTAATTTAAGGCCCAAGGGCTCTTCAGTCAGCATGTGCTGAGTGCTACTAGACCTAGGACTCACCCTTCAGGACAGGTTCAGAAATGTTGTCCAAGAGCCTAGGCCTATATATGGGAACCCTAAGAGTCTGCTTGGTGCTCTATCCTGTAAGGGTCATTGCCGAGTTTAAAATGAGGAAACTGAGGCCAGTATAAGAAAATCAAATGCCAATTTATTCAGCTCCCAGGTGAGGTTCTGTGATCCAGGGAAAGGGGCCAGGGAAGTCACGCTGACTTCCTGGGGCGGGAGGGGAGGGTATGGCTATGAGAAACAAGCAACAGCTGGGTGCTCTGATTGGCTCGAGGGGAGCGGGATTGGGACAGTGCGGGCCGCCATTGGTTGTTGGGTTGTTGGGTGGGTTTTCTGGTGTGAGAGCCAGCCAGGGTTGCATTAGCTGGAGCCTTCCAGAGGAGCCATGCAGCAGAGTTAGGTGCTAAGTGCAGAGTCTGGTGCTGGGTGTAGAGTCAGGTGCTGAGTGCAGAAGTGGATGTGTCTGGCCTCCCGGCGAGGCAACCAGCCTTACATATCCCATGGTGACCAAGCTGCTACCTGAAGCCATCATGTCTCAGACAACTCACTCAAGGCCCAAGGCATGCTCCCTGGGTAGTGTTGTTGGTTATTCAGGGCCCTAGGACTCTTCATTCAGCAGGTGTTTAATCCTGTCATAATTGAGTCCTTTTTTTCAAGGCCAGTGAGTTCCCTCCTGGTCCAGGGTATGCCTAGAAATGTCAACAGGAACTAGGGCCTGGGATGGAGATCTGGGGCTCATCCTACTGTGGCTGAGCCTAGTGTCTAAGACAAAGCCTTCTTTTCTTTTCTTTTCTTTTTTTTTTTTTTTTTTTGAGACGGAGTTTTACTCTTGTTGCCCAGGCTGGAGTGCAATGGTGTAATCTCGGCTCAATCACAACCTCCACCTCCCAGGTTCAAGCAATTCTCCTGCCTCAGCCTCCTGAGTAGCTGGGATCAGGCATGTGCCACCATGCCTGGCTAATTTTGTATTTTTAGTAGAGATGGGGTTTCTCCATGTTGGTCAGGCTGGTCTTGAACTTTTGACTTCAGGTGATCTGCCCACCTTGGCCTCCCAAAGTGCTGGGATTATAGGCATGAGCCTCCATGACAGGTAACAAAGCCCTCTTTACCCTTCTCTATCATCCTCAAGCAGAAGAAAGAAGTCACTCTCATTGCTTTGAGCTGCACTGCCTGGGTTTGAGGGGAGGGGTGGCACAAACACTCCCTTAGAAGCCCTGTCTGATGTCTTCCTAGGTCATGCACTGCTCCAGTCCACTGGCTCTAAGCCCAGCATAGCACCAGGATTTGGTTAGGAATTGTAGTCCTTGTGTCCTAGACTGCCTTTCAAGTTCACTTTGAACCCAGAGTGCTTTATCCTGTAGTGGTGAGGCTTGCGGAAACTCACTTTCTGGCCACTCATATGGACGCTTTCCCTCTGGCGACAGCTGGTCCAAATGCTCCCTCCATGGGCAGACGCGATCTGAGTTCAGCATGGTCTTGCTTTGCACTGTGACAGGGCAGCACTGAGTTTAATGTGCAGTCTTCAAATTGCTGCACTCTGATTTCCCTGAGTGCACACAGATTATTTTCTCACCTCACACAGCTGCTGCCAGGGGAGGGGCAGGGGATGGTGCTGGCGATTGAAGACTGCCTTTCCTGCCCTCTTCATTGCCTCTTTCAGTGATATGAAATTAAAACCAGCCGGGCGCGGTGGCTCACGCCTGTAATCCCAGCACTTTGGGAGGCCGAGGCGGGTGTATCACAAGGTCAAGAGATCGAGACCATCCTGGTCAACATGGTGAAACCCCGTCTCTACTAAAAATACAAAAAATTAGCTGGGCATGGTGGCTCGTGCCTGTAATCCCAGCTACTCAGGAGGCTGAGGCAGGAGAATTGCCTGAACCCAGGAGGCGGAGGTTGCGGTGAGCCGAGATCGCGCCATTGCACTCCAGCCTGGGTAACAAGAGCGAAACTCTGTCCCAAAAAAAAAAAAAAGAAATTAAAACCAGGCACTGTGATTACTCACCTAATGTTTGGTTCTTATAAAGGTGCTTTATTATGTGCAAATTTTTTGGGGGTGGGCTGTACAATTGGTGGAGCCTTCTATTTTGCCATCTTACTCTGCTTTGTAATTTTATATCTTTTAAAAGAAGCTGAGATAAGAAAGCAAGTATATGTTTATAGTTTGTTGTATTAACCTTCTTACTTACCATTTTTGGTTCTCTTTGTTTTTGTGGATTTGAGTTACCATCTGGTGTCACTTCCTTACTCTAATACAGTTTTACTCCCATCTGACTCCTTTATGTTGTTATTATCAAATATATTTCTGGCTGGGTCCAGTGGCTCACGCCTGTAATCCCAACGCTTTGGAGGGCCAAGGCAGGAGGATCACTTGAGCCCCGGAGTTTGAGGCTGCAGTGAGCTATGGTCACACTACTGCCCTTCAGCCTGGATGAGAGAGGGAGACCCTGTCTCTAAAAAAAATTTAAAAATAAATGAATATTACATTTCTATATGCTATAGACCCAAAAATGCAACTGTATACTTGTTTTATACAGTTGCTTGTTAAATCAGTTAACAGAAGAAATATGCGGTTTGTGTTATATAATTATCTTTACCTATGTTCTTTTGTGCCCCCGCCACATAGATTGGGATTGCTATTTGGAGTTAGTTACTTTTGGCTTGAAGAACTATCCTTTGTATTTCTTATAAGGCAGGTCTGCTAGCAGTAAGTTTTTTTTTTTTTTTTAATTGCATTTTAGGTTTTGGGGTACATGTGAAGAACATGCAAGATTGTTGCATAGGTACACACATGGCAGTGTGATTTGCTGCCTTCCTCCCCTTCACATATATATCTGGCATTTCTCCCCATGCTGTCTCTCCCTAACTCCCCACCCACCGCTTAAATTCTTAAGCTTTTGTTTATTTCGGAATGTTTTGGTTTTCATTTATTTATTTTCTTTTCCCCTTTTTTTTTTTGGAGACAGAGTCTTGCTCCTTTACCCAGGCTGGAGTACAATGGCATGATCTTGGCTCACTGCAACCTCCACTTCCTGGGTTCAAGAGATTCTCCTGACTCAGACTCCTGAGTAGCTGGGTTTGTAAGCATATGCCACCACATCTGGCTAGTTTTTGTATTTTTAGTATAAATGGGGTTTCACCATGTTGGCCAGGTGATCCACCTGCCTCAGCCTCCCAAAGTGCTGGGATTACAAGTGTGAGCCACCACACCCACCCTAGCTTAACCTATTTTTATTCCCAGTTCTTGGCCTTCACTTTATCTTCAACATGTATGACTTGCAGTTCATGTATTTTAGAAGTATACAAAAGTAACTCCGAATGCTAGATTTTGGTGTGAAGAAGATTCACACTTGAGATTACTATAAATTATTTTAATGAAAATGGTGTATTACATTTTCTGATTTTAAAAGCAATAAGTACTTACATAAGAAGAAGAAAAAAACCACTAGACTCCTGATATAAAAATCAGTATCCCCCTGCAATCCCATCCCCCAGATATACACACTATCAAGGTAATATGACCTTCTATGAATTTTTTGTTGTAGCTCCAGCAGGAGCCTGTGGTGTTGTTCTGGCACCTCCTATAGGAACAGCAGCAAGTTCCAAGGCTGTCCTCTTCACTGTAGGGTCTCCTCCACACAGTGCGGCGGCCCCCACTTGCACCCACATGCTCCTTCGAACAAGAACAACCTCAGGTAAGGAGCATTTGTTATATTACAGGCTTTGGCTAGTATTTGGAATATAGTGTTTTGACAAATGAGTCAGTGTTGTAACTTGGACAAGTCACTTAATTCTCTGGGCTTCAGTTTCTTTATCTGTGAAATGGAGATTACTATTTTCATTATCTTAATGGGTTATAAGAAGTAAATGAGGCAACATTTGTGGGAAAAAAACTTTGTAAAATGCTATATTATATATTAAAATATTATAAATATATGTTGTATATAATATATTTCAAAATGACTTATGACTTCTTCATGAAGAAGCAAATCATATATGGTGTTTCTTTTCTTATATATTACAGGGTTCCTTTAGTAGACCCAATAAATCATTCGAAAATGATAGTTTTTTTTTTTTTTTTTTTTTAAGAAGCTTGTTTTGAACAGGTGTGGTGGCTCATGCCTGTAATCCCAGCACTTTGGGAGGCCAAGGCAGCAAGATCACTTGAGGCCAGGAGTTCTAGATCAGTCTGGCCAACATGGTGAAACCCTGTCTCTACTAAAAATACAAAAATTTAGACAGGTGTAGTGTCAGGCACCTGTAGTCCCAGCTACTCAGGAGACTCAGGCAGGAGAATCACTTGAACCCGGGAGGTGAAGGTTACAGTGAGTCGATGCTATTGCACTCCAGCCTGGGTAACTAGAGTGAAACTCCATCTCAAAAAAAAAAAAAAAAAAAAAAAAAAGAAAGAAAAAGAAACTTACTTATTTTTTAAATTTTTTGTACTTTGGGCCCCAATCTTTGCACTTAATCCTATATATAATTAGAAGGCTAATAGATTTCTTTTATCATTTATACTCTTTTACAGAGTATAAATTAATAAAGTATTTAGATTGGATTTGAAATAAATAATTTGATGTCATTTTATCTGTTGTACCATAAGTCATCTTATTCTAAATAAGTTGCTAATCAAGATATCAGATGAATAAGCAAAGAATAGAAATAGATAACAAGAGAGAAAATAGAGCTAAAATCTTATTTTTAAGATGATTAAAAATCTTAAATAAGAAAATACCATTTTAAGAAAGTAACATTTTGTATCTGTTACCTATACCAACATTTAAAAAAGTATAATGCTCAAGACTGGGCATGGTGGTTCACTCCTGTCATCCCAGCACTTTGTGAGGCCAACGTGGGAGGATCGCTTGAGGTCAGGAGTTCGAAACCAGCCTGGGCAACATGGTGAAACCCTGTCTCTACCAAAAAAATACAGAAATTAGCCAGACATGGTGGCATATGCCTATAGTCCCAGCTACTTGTGAGGCTGAGGTGAAAGAATTATTTGAGCCCAGGAAATCAAGGCTGCAGTGAGCTGTGATCGTGCCACTGCAATTCAGCTTGGATAACAGCAACACCCTGTCTCAAAAAAAAAAAAAGTATAATGTCCAGTGTTAATGAGGTTTAGTAGGATCTATGTGCTTACTCAGGGCTGTTTTAGAGAGTAATACGGCAGTTCTCGGGCATGGTGGCTCACGCCTGTAATCCAAGCACTTTGGAGGCCAAGGTGGGTGGATCACCTGAGATTGGGAGTTCAAGACCAACCTGACCAACATGGTGAAACCCCATCTTTAAAAAAAAAAAGAAAAAAAGTAATACGGCAATTCTTAGGAAGAGCTGTAAAAATGTGTATTAATTTCTATGCTAATTCCATTCCTTCTTATACCACTTTGGACTATTTATCACAAAGAAATTATTTAAAAGAAGGAATAACTGTCTGCATTTCATTACAGTGCTTTTTGTAATCTGAATAAAGTCAGAAATAGTATAAATGACTCCAGATAAACATTATATAATATATATAAACTTAATGAACCACTATGCATCCATTGAGTTTTATAATTATGAGACCCTGTGGAGCAGCAGGGAGAAATGAATATGGTCTAAATTTGTTTGAAACAGAATATAAAAAGCTAGCTGTGATGATGCCTGATATAAAATATATAGATAAGGAATAACAGTGAACATGGTTAAGTAGAAACTGTTAATATCCTCAAATAGTACATAGGGGTTCGGTGAGTTTCTTTTAACATTTTCCTTTATCACCTCAGCAGGTTTGTTCAGTAAATAAGAGTAGGAGTGGGTGTGAAAGCCCTAACTCTGGACACTTCCGTGTATCCTCTGTTTCCTTGTAGTGGGCTCCAGCAACTCTGGGGTCTCTCTGTGTTCTGCGAGTGGCTGTGTGTGCTTGGGGTCCCCACCTGGCCTGGGCTTCGGCTGTTCCCCTCCAGGAGCAGAGGCAGCTCCCAGCCTGAGATACGTGCCTTACGGTGCTTCACCTCCCAGCCTAGAGGGGCTCATCACCTTTGAAGCTCCTGAACTGCCAGAGGAGACCCTGATGGAGGTATAGAAGAGACTGTAGTGGTGTGAATGTAATGTTAATTCAATATGAGAACATTCTAGTGATGACAAGAACAAAATACATTAAGTAGTTATGAAGTTCTGTTCTCTTTGACGTGCCTTTTCTTTTCTATTTGAAAAGTATTGCTGGTGTCTTTAGATTAGTGTTGACAGTGACGGTCATCCATAGTAAGCTTTGGTTTATAGGAAGAAGCACATAGATTCTATGTTTTTCATTTTTAATTCAAGTTTTATTTACTACTTACATGATTTTAAAGCGTGATCTGTCTTAAAAATGTAACTTAATTCTCAAACTAACTTTGCTTTTCTCCACAAGATAAAAATAACACATTTAAACTCAGTTTTTTAAAAATAGTAATCCGTAATGCTAGATGAGTCATTAATGCAGAAATATACATGGCACCTGCCAAACAGACTAGATGCTCATGTTTGTAGATCAGTACTTTGCCTCCATGGTGCCCTTCTACAGGGAAAAACATGTACGTAATCTGCAGCTTGCTGAGCACCATCTAAACAAAACAAGAAAAGTTAGTTTTATGGTTTGAAAGCTGTGCCCACTCAGTTCTGCAGATTCAACTCTAGTACAGCTCTCACTGGAGCAGTGTGTCCTCTGTCCCTGGATACAGTGATGACAGCCTGAGGTTTAAATTAAAATGGTCAGCTCCCTAGACTGAATACAGAGCAGATTCTCTCTCCTTGAAGGACCTCTCATATTTCTATTTTGTGTGAATGATAATTAAACATTTCACATAAAAGTTATAAAATATTGCCCACAAAACTTTAGTAGTCATTTTGTAGTTTTAGTAGTAATTTTGAAAATATATCTAATCCAATTTAAAATGGGAAAAAACAATTCTGAGTTTTTTCAGTCTCCGTCAAGTTAGACATGTATTACATTCTAGTACATGTTCCAGTACTGAAACAATAGTCCAATATGCTGTCACAGAGTAGAGAGACTTTTAGAAGTCGATTGGCTTATTCTCCTGTCGCTAGGAAAATGATTCTCATCTTTCTTTAACTATAAAAGACTAGGAAATGTTTAGGGTTATTTGGATTTCATGACACATTTATAACTAAAAACAGATCTCAAAATAACATTAAGTCTAGAATATCCTTTTTTTTTTTTTTTGAGATGGCATCTTGCTCTGTCACCCAGGCTGGAATGCAGTGGTGCAATCTCGGCTCACTGCAACCCACGCCTCCGGGGTTCAAGTGATTCTCCTGCCTCAGCTTCCCAAGTAGCTGGGACTATAGGCACGTGCCAGCACACCCAGTTAATTTTTGTATTTTTAGTAGAGATGGGGTTTCGCCATGTGGACCAGACTAGTCTTGAGCTCCTGACCTCAGGTGATCCACCTGCCTCAGCCTCCCAAAGTGCTGGAATTACAGGCATGAGCCATTGCGTCCAATCCACAATACCCATTTTTAAATGACAGCTCTCTGAATGCTGTTATGTCTACCCACACTCTCCTCTTTAACTAACTGAAAAAGTCATAGAAATTTAGAGCTTTGGTATTAGTAATCACTGTTAACTGAAAAACCACCAGAAATTAAATAAAACTACTCTGAAATTATAAGAAGTCAGTAGAATTCACAGTATCAAGAGGTATGATTCAGCACATGTCGTATGCTTATAATCTTGATGTCTAACTTGTCACGTTTTTGTCTCATGTATATTGATTTAATCATTCAGCTTTTCTTTTTCTGGTGAAAGCACAGTGACCCATCTTTAGAGTTTACTTATGTGGGTACTCTGATACATATACACAAACACATGTGGTTTCAGTGTTCATTTTCTTTTTCTGAGACGGAGTTTTGCTCTTGTTACCCAGACTGGAGTGCAATGGCATGATCTCGGCACTGCAACCTCTGCCTTCTGGGTTCAAGCAATTCTCCTGCCTCAACCTCCCGAGTAGCTGGGACTACAGACGTGCACCACCATGCCCAGCTAATTTTTTTTATTTTTAGTGGCGATGGGGTTTCACCTTGTTGACCAGGATGGTCTCGATCTCTTGACCTCGTGATCCACCCGCCTCGGCCTCCCAAAGTGCTGGGATTATAGGCGTGAGCCACCGTGCCTGGCCTTAGTGTTCATTTTCTTACCAGCTTTCTGAAATTAAAAAATTTCAATCTCCTTTGGTCATTTTGATACTCATAAGTATAGAAAACATTATCAGTGGCCATGGTTTATGTACAGAAATTAATATGTACCTATTTTTAATCTGAAATTTTCTAAGACAAATTAACTTTGCTTCAGCGGGAACACACAGATACCTTACGTCATCTGAATGTGATGCTGATGTTCACCGAGTGTGTGCTGGACCTGACAGCCATGAGGGGAGGAAACCCTGAGCTGTGCACATCTGCTGTGTCCTTGTACCAGATCCAAGAGAGTGTGGTGGTGGACCAGATCAGTCAGCTGAGCAAAGACTGGGGGTGGGTTCCCCCTCTGTCATTCATTTCCAGACTTTTCATGCTTTCTCTAAACTTGTGTCTTAGTTGTCAATATTGTCCTCCACTGAAGATCATATCTTGTTATTAAAAGTTAGGAATCTCAGTTATTTCACTGTGCTAGATTTTACTATGTGAGCCAAGACCTGAAGATTATGCAGCCTTTCCTTGTAAATTATACTGTTGAAAGTCTTTTATGCAAAGAGATTGTATTGAGTTTTATCTGCGTGTATCCCTTGTTTTCAAAGTATACACATCTTTCACAATGCCTTCCCCCTGGAGAGTTTACTTGTGCATTAAGAAATTAAGGAGGGCTGGTCACAGTGGCTCATGCCTATATGTAATTCCAGCACTTTGATGGGGGCGGGGGGCAGGATTGCTTGAGCCTGTGGGTTTGAGACCAGCCTGGGCAATATAATGAATCCCTGTCTCTACAAAAAATACAAAAATTAACCAACAGGGTGGTGCACCCTTGTGGTCCCAGCTATTAATATCAGGGAGGCTGAGGTGGCAGGATCCCTTGAGCCCAGGAAGTAGAGGCTGCAGTAAGCCAAGATGAAGCCATTGCACTTCAGCCTGGGGGACAGAGTGAGAGACTGTCTCAAAAAAAAAAAAAAAGAAAAGAAAAGAAAGAAATCAAGGAAGGTGCTTTTCCTTTATAGATAGGCAATTTTAATGGTGACCTGATGTGTAGAGTGCCACATCTTTTGTTAGTTCACAAGATAACCCTCTGCTACTGTCTTCTGGGTGCAGGCGAGTGGAGCAGCTGGTGTTGTACATGAAAGCAGCACAGCTGCTTGCGGCTTCTCTGCATCTTGCCAAAGCCCAGATCAAGTCCGGGAAACTAAGCCCATCCACAGCTGTGAAACAAGGTATGGGAGAAGACAGCATGCAAGAGTTTCTGATGAGTACTCATTGTTGTTTTTCAATATTCTTAAAGGGAAAAGATGCTAGGTTATTAGCTTTTTACAATTTAATTGATAGAAGTGAGAAGTGCATTATTCTCAAACTTTTCACATTGAAAGAGATAACATGAAAGAATTCTATTTCTGGTCCTTTTTTTTGAATGATCACTTAGGGCCACCTTCCCTATATATCAGCAGGAAAGATACATATCATTGCATCTTTATTTCTGGAGGAAAATTAAAATTAGTTCCCATCTCAACTTTTTTTTCAGTTGTCAAAAATCTGAACGAACGATATAAATTCTGCATCGCCATGTGCAAGAAACTTACAGAAAAGCTGAATCGATTCTTCTCTGACAAACAGAGATTTATTGATGAAATCAACAGTGTAACTGCAGAGAAACTCATCTATAATTGTGCTGTAGAAATGGTAACCCTTTCTAAGGTTTAATATTGTATAATACTACTTATCTTTAAGTATAATACTACTTATCTTTTTAATTTAATATCTGACATCTATCCTTTTAAAAGATATTGAATGTATTTGATGTAATTACAAATCCATTTATCACATTTCTTATTAAACACTGCTGGCATTAGGCATGATCGAATCTTTTTACTTTTTTTCCCCTAGACTGCTTAGCAGGATTTTTTTTTTTTTTTTTTTTTTTTTGAGACAGAGTCTTGCTCTGTTGCCCAGGATGGAATGCAGCGGTACAATCTCTGCTCACTGCAATCTTCGCCTTCTGGGTTCAAACTGTTCTCCTGCGGCAGCCTCCTGAGTAGCTGGGATTACAGGCACCCACCACCACACCTGGCTAATTTTTTCATTTTTAGTAGAGATCGAATTTTGCCATGTTGGTCAAGTGGTCTCAAACTCCAGGCCTTGGGTGATCTACCCGTCTCAGGCTCCTAAAGTGCTGGGATTATAGGTGTGAGCCACCTCGCACAGCTGATCTAATCTTTTTGTAATATGCATCTAAAAGCATTAGTAGGATCTGTTTCTGCATTTTCTGTTGTTGAAGAAACGTTGGCTTGATAACAGTCTTAGAAAAAACACTGCCTTATTAATCAATCTGCATAAATTCATATGCTCAGGTTCCACTTACTGATTTTACTGAAGTATAGACACAAAGCCTGCTTTTCCAGTTTTCTGGTTATAATGGAAATAATTTGTTTTCTCTCTCTCTTGGGGAAAAATTGCTCTGAACTTTAGATAAAAATAGAGGCTGTTAAAAAAGTAAAGTGGGGAAAATGTATTAGCCAATCATATTTCTTTTCTTTTTTTTTTTTTCTTTTTATTTTTTGAGATGGAGTTTTGTTCTGTTGTCCAGGCTGAAGTGCAGCAGCATGGTCTCGGCTCACTGCAACCTCTGCTTCCCAGGTTCAAGCGATTCTCCTGCCTCAGCCTCCTAAGTAGCTGGGATTACAGGCACCTGCCACCATACCTGGCTAAGTTTTGTATTTTTCATAGAGATGGGATTTCAGCATATTGGCCAGGCTGGTCTTGAACTCTTGACCTCAGGTGATCCACCCGCTTCAGACTCCCAAAGTGCTGGGATTACAGGCGTGAGCCACTGTGCCCAGGCTGCCAATCGTATTTTTAGCACATTAACGTAACAGATCCCTCTTTCTGTTTTCCATTTGTCTACTTTGAACTGTGCTGTTATATTACATCTGTGGCCTTACTTTGAAATTTATTAAAATAACCTTAGGAAAACAACTTTGGAATAGAAATTCTTGACAAAATATAATCTGTAAACTATTCAGATGAATAGTATGTACTGCATCGCTGTATGGTGAGGTGAGACTTCATGTAATAAATTAATTTTAGAATTTCGTGCCAGAAAAATGCCCTCCATAAGGAATTATAGTGCTGTTTTTCCTTCTCAGAATAAAGAGTGGTGTAACTTAATAAATTCCTGCTTTTGTCCTGGCTGCTTACTGAGCCTAGCGGCAATTAACACGTTTAGTTATTTCTTTTTCCTTGTCCTGGCTCCGATTTTCTGTATCATTTTATTTGCTTCATTGTTAACTGCTTGAAATTATTTTTTTGATTGGCAGAGTATAGCTAGGTGCAGTGGCATGTGCCTGTAGTCCCAGCTACTTGGGCAGCTGCGGTGGTAGGATTACTTAATCCCAGGTGTTCGAGATTAGTTTAGGCAACAGAGTGAGAGCCCCATCTCTATAAGAATGCATAAATAAATTTTAAAAATTAAAAACAAAAAAATATAGAGCATATTAACAAGTAAATTAGGATACCAATTACTGAGAGTTCTGATGTTTAATGATTAAAGAGAAAATCAGAATGTCAATGGAGAGACCCCTGTGAATATGCTACCATCTTCTCTTTCTGGAGAGCCCCCTCCTACATTTTTCCTCACCTAATTCACTTCTGCTGTTGTTGTTTTATGATTCAGCGGAAACAGCATCTCCTGGAAGCTTTCCATAATCATCTAGTCCTTCCATAATGTGGGTTAGAGACATCCCCTATGTATTCATTACCATCCAGTGCTTCCTCCTGTAATACCATGTGTCCCTTAGAATTAGAATTGCATTTTTTGCAAGACTGTATCTCCCTCCAGACTTGGAGCTCTCATTCATTGTAGGCACAGTGCCTGGCACTTAGTAGGTGCTCAGTAACTACATTTTAATGAATGAATGACTATACCCAAAAATTATTTGACTAGCAAAAGAAACCAGTAAAGCCAGTAAGTGACTATTAGCATCATTTAATTATATTATTGTAACAAAATCTGCTTTAATGAAATTTCATGTTACCCTTGTGTGAAAGTGTATGTTTAAAATACACTCTTTTAAACATACTCTTTTATAAGAGCCAGTTTAAAAGGGTTCTAGTATAAATTTTATGAGGCATACCTCTGAATACCAGAAGGCTATGTTTGAAAGCAGAATGACTTTATCAAGTTGTTTTTATGTATTGCTCATCCCAAATAATCTTTGAATTTTATGTAGTTTTGCAGACTATATCACTTTACCAAAATGTGTTAATTTTAAGTGATTCCATTTAAAGCTGCATTGCCCAAATGGATTTGTATTTTCTTGGAAAAATTGAGAGAATTGTGTTTTTGTTGACTGGTTCCAGGTTCAGTCTGCAGCCCTGGATGAGATGTTTCAGCAGACCGAAGATATTGTGTATCGCTATCATAAGGCAGCCCTTCTTTTGGAAGGCCTAACTAAGATTCTACAGGACCCTGCAGATATTGAAAATGTACATAAATGTAAGTTGCAGTTTAGTTGTCCACCACAGGCATAGTACAAAGAGCTTGGAGTTTGGAATCGTGCCTGGGTTTGAATCGTGGCTTTCCAGCCTTGAGCAAATCACTGAGTATTTGTGTGGCCTCAGCTTCTTTTTCATAAGATGGGAATATGGCCAGGTGCAGTGGCTCATGCTTGTAATCACAGCACTTTGGGAGGCCAAGGTGGGCAGATCACTCGAGGTCAAGAGTTTGAGACCAGCTTGGGCAACATGGGGGAACCCCGTCTCTAATAAAAATATAAAAATTAGCTGGGCATCATGGCACATACCTGTAAGCCCTGCTACTTGGGAGGCTGAGGCAGTAGAATTGTTTGTTGGCTTTTAGGGGGTGGAGCTTGTTAGCTTTTAGGCGGTTGTTAGCTTTTAGGAGGTGGAGATTGCAGTGAGCTGAGATCGTGCCTCTGCATCCAGCCTGGGCGACATAGCAAGACTCCATCCCAGGTAGGTAGGTAGGTAGGTAGGTAGGTAGGTATGTAGGTAGATAGATAGATAGGTAGATACATGGATACATAGCTAGATAGATGCATACATAGATGGATACATACATAGATACAGCAGTGCCTGCCTTGCAGGGTTGTTGTGAGGATTAGAGGTGATGCCTGAAAAGTACTGGTGACTGCGTAATTCATCTTGAGATTTTTATACTGCATTACTTTGTTGGTGAGTGTGTGTTTGTATATGTAGGAGGACTTTATTATTAAATGCAACTATTTTAAGGACTCTTAGTGACTGAAGAGTCCTGTGAAACTGCAGATTTGGTATAGATAGCAGAATGGAGATTGATGGGATACCCAGGATGTTATTACTTAACACATACAAACCCAGTAATCTGGTTTTTTAGGTGGAGGTGGTGGACCTCTTGGAGTGTATGTGGTCATGCTACATTTTCAGTAGCCACAGGAGGATGGCAATTCTAATATTATTTGCAGTTATAAGCAAGCTAGTTACATAGCAGGCTAGCTGATGTGCTTACCTGAATTTTACTACTGTGCAACACTAAGCCAGAAGTTATATCTAAACTATTACCAAGCAGAAAGAAGAAAACACATTCAGAACTATTAACTTTGGAGCAAAGATAGAATAGAGATGACAATATAGTGATTTTTTTCATTAGTTCTTCATTTTTGTTATTTCATTTCTAGATAAATGTAGTATTGAGAGAAGACTGTCGGCGCTCTGCCATAGCACCGCAACCGTGTGAGCAGCAGGTTCATCCTGTGGACCGGTGGTGGGAACATGAGGTGATGCCTTTGGGATTACAGCTTGGTTCTGTCACCCCAAGAAACTGTAGCTTCTTAACTGGTGACTACCAAAGAACAAGCAGTGATTTCAAAAAGGAAAAACAATCCAAAAACTACATATTTGTAGGAAATCTGCCTTATTGGAGAAGTCACCCTTTCCCTTTTTCTCTGTAGAAGCAAGAGTGTTGGGCTCCCAGTTTGGACTTGTTGAATAAATGTACCATAGAACTAGGATAATTGGTACAGCTATTCTTAAAGATAATTAAAGTGAAACAAAGTGAGTGCTCCTCACTCAGTTCATCAGAGCAGTGTGTGAAATTCCATGTGTTTGCTGAGGTATAAAGGTAAAAGTGTTCACCCCTCATCCAGCCAGTTTGTTATATGGAGTAAGTTTGTTTAAATCTGAGCATGCATCTTTAAACAGCTCAGGAAGAAATAGCTTAAGAAGAAATGAAACATGGATCTTGGAAGAAATTTTGAAATCTTCAATTGGATCTGATATGGACACGTGTTAATCTTCCAAAATCTTTCATATTGCACTAATTTATTAAAACAACTGTGTATTGGATTTTGTAATTTAACTGAGGCACAATGGACTTGTTTAAAATATTTTACTTGATTGTATACATACACCCTTTCCAGAATTCACATGTAATCTCCAGTGAACTTTTAAGTGCTTGGTTGAACTTGTATTCATGTAAACCTTTGCAATTTTTTTTTTTTTTACTTCTTCATCTACACCTACAGATTTTCTCAGTAATATTTTGAGTTGCTGGTTATTAATTCTTGGGTTCCATTTTTTATTGTGCATGCAGAATGTACATTGATGCCTGTGACCTTAGGTTTGCTGAAAGCTAGGTTTATTTGGGCAGTATTAGAAAAAAAAAAATGGATCAAGAGATACTCTTGAGAATTTGACTAGAGCCGAAACAAAGTTGGTGACCTAAAGGGTTGTTAGTGGTGTGGTGTTTCTACATGAAGTGAGTGGAAAATGAAGTTCGTTTTCTCCTAGGAAAATGGGCAGCTCTCTTCAGCCTAATGTGTATTTTTCATGTTAATCCTGACAGTTGACCAAATAGTCATGGAGAATGAGGCAATTAACTTCATATCCCTTCAGGAATGGTTCCTGCCTTGTGTATTATTTGGTTTCTTTTACTTACCTGCTTGAATACTTGAATAAACCATTCACCAATTTTAATCCTTTTATTTTAGTCCCTTTATGTAAAATAATCTGAACTCTTTGACAAATTGCGCAGAGCTCTTTGTCATTAATCTAATTTTAATGTACTGATAAAAACAAACATGGTTTTCCTTTACTTTGACAAAGTAATGTAATTTTTACCTTATTTATCTGTATGAAATTCCAGTAGTTAATTTGAACATTTATTTATATGACGTTTGTATTTTAGGTCTTTAATACAGTGTTTCTACCTCTCATTTGTAACTGCATGCATTATTCTTGAAACTAGGTAAAACTCACTGAATTGTTGTGTAATAGCCTTTTTATTATTGCCTGTACAAATGTATATTAAGGTCAAATAAAACTGACAGTGTTTCTAGGGTGTAGTTGGGTACATATTAAGTGGCTTGTTGAACCAGATGCATTGTTAGTGAGTTCAGAGACTTGGTCATGAATATCCTTTGTCCTGCCCCAGGATTTAGATTTTGGCAACTGTCATGCAGGCTTCCGGGAACATAGACTGTTCTATACCTCCCCAGCCCTAATTGTTATTAGCGATACGTTTTTGTGTATAATATTTTTTGTTCACAGTGAAATTTCATTCATGTTCTCTCAGTTATCATCTGTGTTATCTCAGTTGTAGGTTTATTCTGTCCTTTCCTCTCCCTCTCTCATTTCTTTTTTAACACAGGTTGAAACAGGTTCAGAGGGGAAGTGATTGGCCTAAAGTCAGGAACTAAGCATGCAGTCAAGCCTGCTTTGTGACTTTCAAGTTAATTCTTCTTGTTCTTGCATAATAAAGGTCTTGGGGTAGATGGTGTGTGTGAAAGAGTGAAAACTTAACAGCAGAAAAGAATAAACTGTAAATTCATGAGTAATGGTTCTGGTTATACTTCCATTATCAAGGCTAATTCTAAGAGATTTTGCCTTGAGTATAGCAATAATAAACAAATGCTTTATGTTTCCCTGAGTATTTTTTAATTTCATATCGTGTTTCTTAGAGTGGAAATATACCAGTTCACACATTGATGGGGTGACACCTGTATTCAAGCCATAACCTGGAAAATTGCTGACTGGCTATTCCTACTGTAAGGATTTGCTTTAACTGTATGCTCCACTGGACTTGGAGGCCTGTGCTCTGGATAGTTTCCTATAGTCCCTGTCCCGTCCTTCCACTGAGCAAAGTAAAGCAGAGTGACAGTTGTTCTCCCTCGCTGGAGTGGGGACTAGAAGCCAGGTGGAGGGGACTGTTAGGGTCAGGCTGCCTCAGTCTCCATAGTAATAAGGAGGAAGTTGAGTTTGACACAGTGGACATGAGGCCTGGAGTGGGTACCCCAAACCCATGCATCTTAGAGTGTCTGAGTCCCCACGTCCCTTCTGCATGCCAGTGGTGCTCTGTGCAGCCATCCTATGACTGCTTTAGTCCAAAGAAGGATGGCATCCATCCCTCCCTCCAGCTCTCTGTTCTGCTGAGACTTTCTCCTCTCCACTCAGCTAGCCATTTGCAACAGATTCTCTCCTGGCACTTGTCTGGGAATATCAAGTATAAAAATTATAACACCCAATTGTGATAACTTTAGTTGAGAGAAATAACCTCCAGTAAAGACTGATAAGTAACTTATTGCCCAAAGTCCCATGTTCCCTCTTCTCCACCAAGAGGAATTACCAGAGCAGCAGTTCTGTCCTCACTTGAGTCCCATCTAGGAGCTTGAGGGGATTTTTAGGGCCGGGATGCCTTTGTCTGCACAGTAATGAGGAGAAGTTGAGTTGGACACAGTGGACATAAGGGCCTGAATTCAGATATCTGAAAAATCATTATTTGGCCGGGCACGGTGGGTCACATCTGTAATCCCAGCACTTTGGGAGGCCAGGGCGGGCAAATCACCTGAGTTGGGAGTTCAAGACCAGCCTGACCAACATGGAGAAACCCCATCTCTACTAAAAATACAAAAAATTAGCCTGGTGTGGTGGTGCATGCCTGTAATCCCAGCTACTCATGAGGCTGAGGCAGGAGAATCACTTGAACCCAGGAGGTGGAGATTGCTGTGAGCTGAGATCACATCATTGCACTCCAGCCTAGGCAACGAGAGTAAAACTCTGTCTCAAAAAATAAATAAAAATAAAATAAATCATATTTTTTGTTTGTTTTTGAGACGGAGTCTCACTCTCTTGCCCAGGCTGGAGTGCAATGGCAGATTTTGACTCACTGCAGCCTTCGCCTCCCTGGTTCAAGTGATTCTCCTGCCTCACTCTCCTTAGTAGCTGGGATTACAGGCATGCACCACCATGCCCAACTAGTTTTTTGTATTTTTAGTTGAGATGGGATTTCACAATTTTGGTCATGAACTCCTGACCTCAGGTCATCCACCAGCCTCAGCCTCCAAAAGTGCTGGGATTACAGGCATGAGCCACCGCGCCCAGCCAAAATCCTTTTGTTGATATTAGTGGTAAGCACAGGCTTTGGAGGAGGACTTCAGACTTTTAACTATGCTCCCTGCTGGTAGTTTCCACAAGCAGTCTTAAATTCTTTCTGGAATAAAGCAAGATTGATCAGTATTTCTCGAGGATTACTTGGCTGGGGAGCTATTGCTCAGTGACCTTGGTATGGTTACATGCATCCTGAAAGCATCGTGCCTATTTCTAGACAGCCTCAGACCACTTTCTTCTGGGTCCTGGACCCTAGAATCTGCAGCCGAGCCAAGCAAACTCTTGGGTCCCTCTGAAGTCTTATATTTAGCAAAGCCCTGTGAGAATTCTTTTATTAGGGGAATTTAGGTGTAGGTGGTGGACCAAGATGATGCATCAGAGGAAACCACATCAGAAACAGTCCACCTAGAGAAACACTGCAAACAGGAAAACTGACAACTGGCTCTGAGAAATCACAGCCTTTTTGTAAGAGGTGAAGCCGAACTGGTAACAGATCAAAGTGAATTCAGGGATCAGACTCTACTAGGGAAAGGAGCAGAGGTTGAGATCCTGCTGCCAGTGTGACCTTGCACAGAGCGGCCCAGCAGAGGCTGTGCAGACAGAGACCGTCACAGAGCCAGGGCCCAGCCCTATGGAGCCCCAAGGCACATGTGGTCCCGAGTGAAGCCGTGCCTGGTGCTCTGAACAGATGGAATCAATCTGTAGATTTCTCCTTTTTTCATAGAGCATGGCTGTCCTTAGGCCTAGAGGCTCTCCTTAGGTCTGCACATGCGCTCTGGGCAGGGCAGGCCTCCCTGGGCTCTGGGCAGCAGGACCTCCTGTCCCAACTCTTGAACAGTTAGCTTCTATCATTAGGAAGTGCCCACTTGAGCTCTTGTTTATTGGAAACTGTGTTCTATGCCTCTTTTGGGGTTTCTGCAACTAAATTTGGCAGAGTAGCTTGTGGTCCACTTGGTTTCAAACTCCAGCTCCACCATGTGCAGTTGTGTGTTCTTTGGCAAGTTGTACTCCTCCTCCATATCTGTCAATGGGGGAAGAGTGCATGTCTCAGAGTTGAGGTGAGAAATAAGTTAACGAACATAAATTTTTTTGCCCAGCATCTGGCACATGGAAGGGCTCAGCAATGCTGTATCTGTTGCAGAGGTCATCACTGTGGCTCTTCACTGCTCCTGTTTTGTTTTGGGAGGGGGTGGAGAACAATTTGTTCCATGGAGATGGGTGGGAGGAGGGAGGAGCGCAAGGCCTGCCTTCAGGCTCTGTTGAACCACGTGCACTCCAGGCTGGAGCTTCTGAAAGGATGCAGTTCTTGCATAGAAGTTGCTTCCTCCAGCTTGCCCACCAGGCACTCCGGCCTCTGACATCTATGTTGCCCTTTTAAGTCAATTCAGCTGTGTAACTGGAATGTTCGTGTCAGTCTGATCATTGTTAATTCATTTGATCTTCAAACCAACCCTTACTTGCCTCCTTTTACAGATGGAAAAAGCAAACTTGGTATCCCCAAGGAAAAGCCCCACAACTGGATCACGGTGGGAGCAGGAGGCCAGGCATGGAGCACTGGGGGCAGGAGGACCCAGCTCCCCACAGGAGCCCCACACTGTCTCACCCTTAGAAAGAAAGCCCAGAGGCTCACTCCTTGTCTTTCTAATGCATTCTTTCTGATGTACAGGAAGAGGGGAAGGAAGGAAGAGCTTTTGCCATTTGGTGCTCCAATGTCTCCTGCTGGACTCATATTCTGCCTAGTGGAAGGCAGCAAATTTTCAAGAAACAGGTGAGGTGGAGCGGTTTGGTGCAGCCCTATGGGGCCTGGAGTTGGAGCTCAAGAGCAGTGGATTTCAGAGGCCACCCTGAAACTCCCAGTAAAAAGGACTTCGGAGACATGTTAATAAACTCAAGCATTTGGTCAACCCACGTGGAAGTTTTCCTGTTTGCTTGCTTGTTTTTGCATGTGACAGTGAGATTGAGCAGCAGGGAATCATTTCAGTGGGAAGTGGGAGGACCCTCCCCCTTCACAGGCCCTGCTGCCTCCTGGGACAGTTCCTTCACAGATGGCAATAGACATAGCGCCTTTATCCAGGAATGCCCTTTAGAGGCCGCCCTGCTGAGGCTGCGTGCACTCCTGTTCTCAACTTGGCTGGCCCAGCATAGCGTTCAGTGCTGGTCCCCTTTGGCTCACACAGGAGGAGGACGGTGTGTAGAAAACCCCGTCTCCAGCCACTGAGGCCACCCAGTTGTTGCCTTCTCTTACCTTCCTGTCCTATTGTTCCCATCTCAGTCCACAGGAGGGCTCTTGTTCACATGGGCACCCCCACCAACTACTACAAGGAGAGACTGGGCAAGAAGATAGTGGCTGAGCCTGGCCGGATCTCTGGAAGGCCTTTCCCAAGCCTTGTGGGCAATAAAGTGACTTCCTGTCTGGTACATGGATTCCTTACAGGAAGAAGTGATGGGAAACTTAGAGCCAAGGTGTCTGAGGGGCTATTGCTCTCCTTCCTCTGAGAATTTCAGTGAAGATGAAGGTGAGTTGATACACTTTGGAGCTAAACCAGAGATGGGTGATTTATGAATTTTCATAAGGAGCAGAAAGAGTGCAGGCTGCTGATTTGATATGGAATGCCTCATGGTTAGAAGATGGATGTAGTTTCTAGTGGAAACCCAGAATATTTTGAGGATGAACAGTTTTGTTTTCATAAATCCCTTTTACATTGTGAGAAAGAAAACAGCACCAGACACCTATCTCTTGGGGAGAAGTTTTCTACAGTATGATGAAAATATGCATAAAAGGTTTGAATACATTTTAAGTGTTTATAGGATGATGAAGATGTATCTGTGGTTGTCCAATGGAAAAACAAGTTTTCCTTCCCTATTGGTAGTGTCTGATGGACCTGGGAAATGGGAATTATTTTAGAGGGTGGGTGAGACTTTGTTTGTTTGAGAAGGAGTCTTGTTCAGTCACCCAGCCTGGAGTGCAGTGGTGTGATCTCAGCTCACTGCACCCTCCACCTCCTGGGTTCAAGCGATTCTCTTGCCTCAGCCTCCCAAGTAGCTGGGACTACAGGCACCAGACACCATCCCTGGCCAATTTTTATATTTTTAGTAGGGACAGGGTTTCAACATGTTGGCCAGGCTGGTCTCAAACTCCTGTCCTTAGGTGATCCACGTGCCTCAGCTTCCCAAAGTGCTGGGATTACAGGAGACATTTAATTTTGTATTTCATAATGCTGATATTTTTCACCATGAGCATATATAACTAATTTTCCTTTTTTTTTGAGACAGAGTCTCGCTCTGTTACCCTGGCTGGAGTGCAGTGGCACAATCTCAGCTCACTGCAACCTCTGCTTCCTGGGTTCAAGGTATTCTCTCACCTACACCTCCCAAGTAACTGGGATTACAGGTGTGCACCACCACGCCTGGCTAAGTTCATTTGTATTTTTAGTAGAGACAGGGTTTCTCCATGTCAGCCATACTGATCTCAAACTTCTTGCCTCAGGTGATCTGCCCACCTCGGCCTCCCAAAGTGCTGGGGTTACAGGCATGAG